GTAAAGTTTGTCAATGTGTCTAATATCATTAACTCTCTCGAGAAATTACAGGCTTTAGCAAAGGAGTATGGACAAGGTATGGCTAAGCAAGGGATGGATGTATTACTTGCCACACTATCAAAGCTATTCAATCTGTTGGAGACATCTGGTGAATTGTCTCTGTGATTTAATAAACTCAATTTCAAAGATGTGTCTTAGAAAGTAGCTCAAGATAGTAGACACTTTCTCAACTCCTCGGCGGAAATACTTTTTACTTAATCATCTGGAGCAATTTTTGTTTACTGTGCTTAGAAATGTGTGGGCTCTTGCAGGCCAGATTGTTGGGGTGATCGTCCTTGATGAGAGAGTAAATCAAGAATCAGCTAATCTGCTAACCGTTGGGTCTTCTTCTCGTTCATCTGCACGCTCCATGGCTGAGGTAGAGGGAATTCCAAGTCCAATCATTATCGCTCAAGTTCTACTTGTTAGGCTGACGCTTACATGGTTAACTGGAATAATCCTTCTCATTGCAACTATCCTTGGGGTAAGATCACATAATTCATCATCCTCTCTTCTATAATGAACATATGTGTTACTTAAGTTAAGGTGATGTCAGCCAATGTGGAGTTGAAGCTTTATGACCTAAATTGTACACAGTCAAAGGATCATTGTAGTCTGTATATTACTTTTGTAGCTGAACATTGAACCTATAAGTAGCTGGAATTTGACATTCTTGGTTCAATTGGCCGTTGCAGGTGTACTTCCTTATGTACTTGCCTTTGACGAAGGACACGCTTCTATATTCCAACGTGAAGCTCGATTAAGATATAAAATGGAGCTTCAAACCAACAAGCGGACTCTGATGAATCTCTATGTTGTTCGGTTCATCTTTTTGTGTGTATCAAGCCGAGTTTCTCAACTGGCCACATTTGATATCTTATGACACTTTTTCTGGCCAAGTGGATGCGTTGTGTTTATTTCCATATAAAATTGCATTTTTGATTTATATATGTTTTTTCTTTGATAAATACAATGTGTCTCAGTCCTATAATATAGATCAATTTGGATTTCCATATAATATTTTGTTTTCTGTAAGAGTTTGTATCATGAAATCTGAATAGATTATTGCAACTTCTTTAGAACTTCTGTCCTACGGAATAAATAAATATAATGTTCGTCCACAATATTTTGGTTCAGTTTGATCCAAGTTAGAGCATGTGCAATGCTAAATACATGTTTTGTGTTCTTAAGACA